TCTCTTATCAAAATTTCTTTTTAATCTTCTCTCAGCTGATAATTCTTTGAAGTCTGTCCCCCTTCAGTGGTTTGAAAAGAATTGGAAACCACCAGACTTGCAAAAGAATTTATTTCCCAGTTACTAGAGACATTCATTTTCAACACCCATACCAATATTTCACAGAGTTTATTCATTTGTCTTCTGTAGGTTTTCTATCCTAAGATTTAGAATGAGTGAGAGATTTGTCTTTCCTTTTGAGAGTGGCAGGCATGTGTGTGTGTGTGTGTGTGTGTGTGTGTGTGTGTGCATGCACAATTGGGCAGGGAAATTGCTGGACCACAGGGAGTTCTCAGTGTTAGAAAAAAATCCATAGGAGACTTGAGGATCTGCATAATCCTTCAAAACTACCCTTGCCTGGGTACCCATTGGAAAGACTTCATGTATCTCCAAAGTTATGTTATTGAAAACATTTCAGCGGGCACTGCAGTCTATCTCTGCCTGTTACACTCCATGGAAATTTTAGGCAATTACCCTTTAGGGGGAGTGAGAACCACCTGAGCTATATGTAAAGAGAGCATTTCCCTGTTAACAATAACAAAAGAATGGAAACAACCCAGTCCTATCAATAGTGGATTGATTGGATAAACTGTGGTGTTATCATGCACATGGAGTGCTATCTAGCTATAAAAGGAATGAGAGAACCCCAGTGGGGGAAAAGAAGTAAAGTATGTAACAGGTATGGTATCCTACTTTCATTTATGAAAGTGAGGAAAATGAGTATAATCCATATTTGCTTATGTTACAAACAATAAAAGAATAAACTAAAAACAAACATAAAATGGTTGCCTCTGGAGGGAGGAGATCAGGGTGAGGAGAGTGAACAGAGATGGAACTAGACTTAGATTTCATGTACCTTGATTTTTTGGTTTGACTTTAAAACCATGCAATGGTTTTTGCATCTTTGTAAAACATTATGTCGAATGGGAAAGAAAAAGCAAAGCCATTCTTAAAAATCAAAAGCAAAATGAAATGGATTAACCTGTGTATTAGGTTGGTGACTTCGTCACTCAGAGACGAATTACTTCATGTGACTTTAAAACATAGCAATGTTTTAGGTATGTCCCTAGTAGGTATGTCTTAAAGATGAAAAGAACTGCAAAGACTGTAGACAGCTTTCAGCAATCATGTTGTTAGTAAAGATACTTGAACTGAATTTGAAATATATATATTAGGATAAAGCAAATAAGTAATACTACTAATGTAAGAATCAAGATATTCAGCATAAGAAAAAAAATATGGATATAAAACCAAAGTCAAGTAAAAGCTCTGTAATCCTAAATTTGAGTTGGAAAAAGCAATATAAACTCATGAAGCATTTTCTTTTGAAAGAAAAGTTTTTCCTAGTTATTTCCATTATAAGGACCCAGAAATACTGACCAACCCAACAGCAGTGAGCATTCCTGGCTTCCATAGTGTGGTCTCTAAATTCCATTGTCCACCAAAAGGATCCAGGGTTCCTTGAAAAAATGACAGAGTCTAGGGCCAGGGCAGCAAATGGACAAGATGAGCCTAGGATATTTTTTCTTGTCCAGAAGCAAGGATGCTATCAAAGACCACTGGGGTTTGGTGAGAGGTGCCAACTTGAAGAGGCTGCTACTGGCCAAAGATTGAGCAGTTGAACATCAAAAAGAGCAATTATAATTGATGGAAACACTTCAAATGTATTAACACACACACACACACACACACACACACACACACACACACAAGCGCACACACAAAGAATTGATGATGCTTCTCAAAACCAAACTAAAACAAAACAGTGTAACCAAATAGTGAAGGAAAGTTTCTAGTATAAACTGTTATCAGTGTAACCAAATAGTTAGTGAAGGAAAGTTTTTATTCATAGATTTCCAGCTAATCTATGCAGAGGGAATGCTAGAATTAGAATGTCACCCTTTTAAAGCCACTAATGATGGGCAATGATCATCAGTGGCTGCTGATATTGTTAGGTAAAAGGGAACTTTTTTTTTTTTCTGGTACACGGGCCTCTCACTGTTGTGGCCTCTCCCGTTGCGGAGCACAGGCTCCGGATGCGCAGGCTCAGCGGCCATGGCTCACGGGCCCAGCCGCTCGGCGGCATGTGGGATCCTCCTGGACCAGGGCACAAACCCGTGTCCCCTGCACCAGCAGGCGGACTCTCAACCACTGCGCCACCAGGGAAGCCCTAAAAGGGAACTTTATAAAGGAAGATCAGGCATCCGAATCCACAATAACAGAGGTGGTGGAAGGTATTACTCAAGGTAGTGTAATCTGAAGCTCTCCAAGAATTTATTTTATTTTTAGACTCATTTCTTGGAATTTTCGTCTTATTCCTATATATTTCCTATTTTAAAGCTCAGCTTTCAGATCCTTAATGTATCTCATTGAGAGCTTGGATCATTAGCAAGAATTTCTCAGGCAGTGCCTAGGCAAATCACCTTATCTTCATCTGTGAAATGGGGCTACTAGAGAATTCTACCACATAGGACAAGAGAGAGGATTAAATGTGGGGTGTGTGTAAACATCCAGTGGCTGACATTTAGTGTGCATCAATTAGGACTATTTTTATTAAGATTATTATTTCAGCCCATTGCTTGCCTGGCTAGGTTTCGCTATGGGGATATTTGTCAGTATTTTTTTTTACCAAGGAAGGATTTGACCACTACCTTTCCCAGACTGTATCTCTCCAATGTGGGAGAAGGACACAAGAATGCAGGTAGCTCTGAAGGAAAATCAGTGTAGTCTAGGTGGATCTATGGGAAATATGGACAATCTAGGAAATCAGGTTTGCTCTGCTGCTCACTACACATAGGGCACAGTCATTGCACTTTACGTGTATTATTTTTTGTATTTAGTGATGCTCAGTTGGTTTTTATATACATCATCTCACTTTAGATACGGCCGTTGCTTGACTCCTATGTTGAAGATGAGGAAACTGAAATTCAAAGAGGTTAAGAGCTTGTCACAAGTCACATCAGGGCTTCCCTGGTGGCGCCGCGGTTGAGAGTCCGCCTGCCGATGCAGGGGACACGGGTTCATGCCCCAGTCTGGGAAGATCCCACATGCCGCGGAGCGGCTGGGTCCGTGAGCCATGGCCGCTGAGCCTGCGTGTCCGGAGCCTGTGCTCCGCAACGGGAGAGGTCACGACAGTGAGAGGCCCATGTAGCGCAAAAAAAAATAAATAAGTCACATCAGAATACAAGCTTCTGACTTCCAACTTATTACTTTTCATTGTTATATCACAGTTCACTTGAAATGTTTTAGTCCACTTCTGGAGGAATGTCATATAAACTTCACCCACATTGGTGGTGCTGCCCAGAGAAAATCTTGATAAAGTTCTTCTTAGTGGTACCTCTGTGGCCAATTAATACCCTTCTGATAATTTTCTGCCCAGACGCTTAAGCTCATCAAAGTTTACACCAGCACATGCAAATTTCTCTTACGGTAAACTTCGAAATTTCAATTTGGAATGGCTCTTTCGGATTGTGTATAAAATCATCAAATGAGGCAAACAACCAGCATCAATTTGGAGGAATCTGTTATTTACCATTTTTCATCAAGAAAAATGTTCCCATATTCCTAACCTCTTTTTCTTTTTATTCAAGAAACCAGGTACAATAAACCATTCCACTAGATTCTATCAAAAACCCAGTTTTTCTTCAAAAGTAATATTTTGATTTAGAATGTAAATAAATTAGGTCCACTGGTTTTCCTTTAGTCATATGTTTATTTTTTTCTTTTATTGTTTAAAATTTTCAGATGTGGCACTCGATTATGATAAAATTACAAACAGCATAGAAATACATACTATAGTAAAAAAAAAATGGAATTTTCTCTTTGGTCGGTTCTCACTCTCCTTTCTAGAGAAAACCACTGGTTTAATGGCTATATTTCTGGACCTTTTCTATGCATTTACAGAGTTGTATAATACATTATTGCCTTTTAATATATTTCCTTATGCATACACATTTTTGTTTTCTTTTTTGCGGTACTTGGGCCTCTCACTGTTGTGGCCTCTCCCGTTGTGGAGCACAGGCTCCGGACGCGCAGGCTCAGCGGCCATGGCTCACGGGCCCAGCCGCTCTGCGGCATGTGGGATCGTCCCGGACCGGGGCACGAACCCACGTCCCCTGCATCGGCAGGCGGACTCTCAACCACTGCGCCACCAGGGAAGTCCTATGCATACACATTTTTACATAAATGAGAATGCTAATATATATTTTTAATGTTTTGCATTTTCATTTACTATATCCTAGACGTATTGACATATCACTCTACATAACTCTACTGTATTCCTTTTAACTGCTGCATATACATTTAATGATGAACAAATTGCTGCCCTTAAAGACAATGAAATAAAATATCTTCAATGAAGTATTTTTGCTTACATGAGCAAGTATTTTTCCAAGACATCTAGAAGTAAAATTGCTGAATTAAAAGACACTTAACATCTTTAGTGTGGACAGATTCTGCCAGGCTGCCCTCAAAAAAGGCTACCCCAGTCTTAGCAAGGAATAACTCTTCCTCAGGACCTCTCATGCACTGGATAATACCAGTCTCTTCATTTTCCCCACATAATATTAAAAAAATGTGTCTTTTATTGTTTTGACATTTCTTCATGTGTTTGTGGCCATTTGTAGCTGTTTTGTGAATCATCTACTCTTACCCTTGATTCATTTCTCTGTTGGATTTCTTGTTTTTAACTAATTTAAGGAAGCACTTTATAATATATGGATTTTAATTCCTTGTTACATATATTGCAAATATTTTCTCTGTCATTTGTCTTTTAACTATGCTTATTTTGTATTTTGCCATGCAAAAGTATTGAATTTTATACCAGTGGTATCTCTGAATTCTGTCCTTTATGGCTCCTTGAACATGTGTCTTATTTAGGAAGGCCTTCCTCTCCTGAGGTTATCCAAATACTTTTCTAAGTTTTCTTCTAATATGATTATTGTTTTGTTTTTTATGTTTAGCTCTTTAATCCATCTGGAAATGATTTTTGTATATGGTGTGAGGTAGGTATCTAAGTGTACTTTTTAAATGAATAGTTCATTGTCCCAACACTGATTACTAACCTATCATTTCATATATTAAATTCCAGTATTGATACATGGGTCTGCTTCTGGACTCTATTTTGTTCCATTGATCAGTGAAATTGTCTATTGCTATGCCAGTAACACAGTGTGTTCATTCCTGTAGTTTGATAATATGTTATGCTATCTGATACAGCTAATATCCCTTGTTGTTCTATCTCAAGTATATCTTAGTTTTTTTAATCAAATATTTACTCCTCTCAATGAATTTTGGTATCATATTGTCAGTTTCCATATATCATTCCATTGAGGGTTTTATTTAGATTGTGTTGAATTTTTAGATTAATTTTAGGGAAGAATGAGAGGTTCATGATATTGAGTCTTCCTATCCAAGGAAAAGACAATCTTTCCATGTATTCAGATCTTCTTTTATGTTTTTCAATACTTTTCTTTACATAGACCTTGTATATTTTCTGCTAAAGCTATACCTAGGAATCTTAAACATTTTGTTGTTGTTGCTAATGTACGAGCATGTTTATTGAATTTTGAAGTCATTTTACTAGTGCATGAGAATAGTCTGATTTTTGTATATTCATTTCATGTCTGGGTAGCTTACTAAACCATATAATGGTTCTAATTGCTTTTTAGCTAATTGTCTTGAACTGTCATATCATATGCGAACAATGGTGTTTTGACTCCTCCTTTTCAGTATTTTTACCTTGTTTTTATTCCTGCTTTATTGTAGTGGCTAGGGCCACCTGAAAAATATTGCATAAAATCAGTAATAGAAGATACCTTCTAATATGATATTTAGTATATTAAATACAGGAAGTTACCTTTTATTACTAATGAATTAGGGCTTTTAATCAGGAAAGGGTGTTGGTAATTTTGGGCATCTTTTGAAAGAATGGCTTTTCTTCTTTTATTTTTACCTTATGTTTACTTTGTTTCTTCTCTTGGAATTTCAGAGTTCCTGTGAGGATAATATGTGATTGGTTTTTATAAACGCCTTTTAGATAATTGAAATTAATATGCAGCTTTTTCAGGAGGCTGAAATGTACACGCATCACTCATATATATCAATTAAAACTCATTATTTTTATTTTTTAAATGTATCTTTATTTTTGTTGTCTTCTTGATCTATCATTTTGCAAAATAAGTGTTTTAATTTTCCATTGTAATTGTAGCTTTGTTAGTTTTCCTTTATTTATAACCTGTTTTACTTTTTATACATTTTTGTTGCTATCTTAATTGGAGCAAAAGAGTTCATAATTTTCATAATGGCGAATTTTACCATCTTCAAATATAATATAGACCACTTTGTATCCATTTAGTTCTTGGCTTTCTGAAATTTTTTCATATATGCATTCAATTTTGATATGTTCTATATTGAATATATGACATATATTCAATATACTATATATGAATTATATTTTCAATGTATATTATACATATTGAATATTATCTATTCAATATATATTATATATTCAATTATATATTGTCATATATTATTATGTATAGTGAATATTATACACATTGTATATTCAGTTTTTTTTACTGTTTGTTATATTTTTGTATTCTTTCAAAAGTTTCAGTATTTTCAAAATTCTTTCAAAATTTTCAGTATTTTCTGTTATTTCCTTTTAAATATGTCTTTTCTAGATAACATGCATATTGATTTTTTAACATAAATGTTTCTCTTATTTAAGAGGTGTCATATATAACCCATTAATTCTTATTGTTTATAGTGATATTATTTAAACTTCTTTTTCATTTTGTGCTATTCACTATTATCCCTCCCCCCTTTTGTAGTCTTTTTGGTATTGGTTAGAGATTTTTAGTTCTATTTTCCTGAAACTGGTTTGGAAGCTATATGTACTATTTCTATTCTTTTAGAAGCTACTTTAAAATTTTAGCAAGCACATTTAAATTTAAACTGTTATAATCAACAACTGATGACTTTCTGTAAGCTCCCTTGCCCTTCCTTCTAAAAGACAGAGCCCTTATCAGGCTTTTGATTATTTCCCTACCTACTCGTCTGTGCACTTATTGTTGAAATTATCTGGAAGTTTCATTCCAGAATATTGTTAATAATAGCAGTGATAGTACTATTTGTATTATTACTATTTTTATTTACTTTATGCCTCTATTTTACAGAAATCATTTATTAGTAATTATATTACATTTTACTACCACATTAGTGACCATTATTTAGATTTAAATTGTGTTTTTTGTGGCTTATTTGCTTTGCACTCTTTGTTATATTCCAAGTCATCGTATATTTTAGATTCTTTTTCCGTTTTTCTGGAGTACATTCTCAATTTTTTCTTCTTTGTTTTTCTCAAAGGCTATGTGTGGTACACTTTCTGAGTCTGCTTGTCTGAAAGAAACATCTTCATTTGTCTTTACATTTGATACAGAGCTACCTTGATTATAAAATCCCAGGTTGAAAACAACTTCTGCAAATTCATATTATCATTTATCTTCTAAAATACTTCAAGTGGATAAGGCAAACATGATCTCTTTTTTTTTTTTTAGAAACAAGGTTGCCCATCGCCAACAAGTCATTCTTTCTTAAGTGTTTATGATTATAATTCCTCCAACTGGCCCATCATAAAAATGAGAACTTTGATTAATACCAATAGTTCGTCAGGACATTTATAGAGAGCTTTTTCTATCAGTCAAAAGCAGTTTTCCAACAAGTTTCATGTATTAGCCAGAAGTTCCCATTTCTGATGCTCTATTTATGAATGATACAGTTAGTTCCTGAGTTCTAAAACATGCTGTGAATTTTCTTCCACTTATGCTAATAATATCTCTAACCTCCTGGGCAGTGAGGATTTCCCTAACATTTTTTCTCAGGAAAGTGTACCCTGAATGTCAGTAACTTCCTCTTGCCCTTGGCTGTCAGATCTGTAAACCCACAGGTGGCTGATGTCCTCCTCGGGCTATTTTAAAAAAAACACTTTCCTTACTGGCCTTTGAGATCTTGATAAGAACGGTTGTGAATTCTCTTCTGGTCCACCTGATTTCTCATTAGCATGTGGTCTTTCATACTTTTGAACTTCCCTATCCCCTTCACTCAGAACACTGAGTTCTAAGTAGCAGTGAGAAATTCAAGATTGTCAGATAAAGCTAAAGTCATAGTAATACAGATTAGATGCACATGGACCATGCTGTGCTTTAACCTCCTTGGCCAAGGAGTCTAACCTAATATCTGCAAACACTCTGATACTTGGTAGCCTTGCTCAGTGATTCTGTGACTTCCCTCTGGACTCCCTCTCAAGGTTAGATTAGATTGTAGTACCAGATTCTGAAATCTTCTCTCCCACTTCAAATCATCTTGTAATCTTTCTTTATATTCCATGCCAAGGAACATACCTTCCCTTAGGTGTTATCTCTAATTGCTACTCTAGCTGCCTGCAGTATCGTAGGCTTATCTCCACTGGCCCCCCACGCCCCGTCACAAAAGTTGCATCACGTTTGGTTATCTTAGAATAAGATGCATCAAGAGGGCATCTGCCTATGAAGAGTGCAGACTGATGTGACTGATTCTGGCAATCTGGTCACTGTGTGTGCTTCTGTCTCGACCCCTTTTAGGTGGGAGGACACACCATGCTCCCCATTCGTTGGATGCCCCCTGAAAGCATCATGTACCGGAAGTTCACTACGGAAAGCGATGTGTGGAGCTTTGGGGTGATTCTCTGGGAGATCTTCACCTATGGAAAACAGCCATGGTTCCAGCTCTCAAACACAGAGGTACAGAAAGGGGACAGATGGGAAGCTTGACTTGGAGGAAGGCTGATAAGAGACATCTCAGGCCAGCACTTAGAGTGTGTAAAACATTAGGTGGGGTTTGGAGCCAGCAGAGCAAATGCTGGCAGAAGCAGAAGGAGAGACCTTCTTGGTAGAAAAAAAATTATAGCTGTAGAAAATGTGCTGTGATTGTCAAGAGAGCATGAAATTAGATGTTGAAATTGAGATGCAAGTCACGGTTCTGTTTGCTCTGCTACACTTAAAAATCACAAATGTTTCACTAAGACAGAAAGTGAAAACAAAAAACAACTATGAGTTTTTCAATTGTGCCATCTTGTGGAAACACCTACTATGCCCAAGTCATCTGGGTCCCCAAAGGCTTTAGGTAGACCAGGCCCAGAGATGTGCAGGAAGGTGAACTGGCAAAGCAAATTTCATGTTACTGACAGAGCTGTGTGTGGACTTCCAGGAATAAGATGAATCATAACAGTAAATGTAATAATATACACATTATGTATTTTATACTTTTGATTTACAATATTAATAAAAAATGCTAGTCATCAAATTTAATAATAGCTAACATTTAGTGCCAGGCATTTTCCTAAGCACATTAGCCTATATTAACTCAGTACTTTTCACACAAACACTTGTTGAAATTCAGGACAAAGGAAGGGGCGCTGCTTGGGGTTCTGGAATGGACTGGCCAGAGGTGAAAGCATCAGCCTGGAGAAGGCTTGGGCCGTGGTCCAAAGCAAGATGCTTCTCAGTGCCATTGTGTCCTCCCAGGGAACTCAGTCCAGTCTGTAGGCAGTAAAGGGCTTGGTCTCCCAACCCAGCAGACCTATAAAAGATTGCAGTTTATGGTCTTCTGTTTTCCGGGAAAACATGAACATGAGGACCTTTTAATATTAGAATCCTATCTGAATATTCCAGAAAGTGTCTCTCTTCTTGGAAGCTATGTTCATTTTTGCTTTCCTATACCCTGACCGTTTAATTAAGTATGTGTCAAAGACTGAAAAGAAGGCATTTCATTACATTTGTAACGTCTCATCATTTGCAAACTGAATGGGTCCTGACCACATTTCCCAAAATAGGACAAAATATTTTGACGACCTTTAAAAAAAATGTAAGTGGGTATATTAGAACACATTTGTTATGATGCTTTAAAAAATTATTGTTTTCCTGGGTAGGGGGTAGTGGTAAACATACACACACATACACACGCATGCATGCATATATACACATGCTCGTGTACATGTGTTGGCACATTTGCATGCACTCAGGCACACAAGGTACCCTGATCACAGCCCCTATGTAGTTTGGTTGCCCTAGTAAAGAGGGGAATCTGGGCTGAGGGTTCTATTGGTCTCAGCAGATGATCTGTCCTGGTTACCTAAACTGGCTTAGAGTAGCTAACGGGGCTCTTGTGGTCGTCTCTGACACTGCTTGGTAAGGCACTGGCCTTGAAGATGGGCTTCCTACCCCCAGCCACCGCTTCCACTCTACCAACACCAGCAGTGAAGTCCTGACAGTCACTGATAATGAGTTGCTCTATTGAAATTGACAAGCTGGAGAGCCCCACATTGGAGGAGACACCACTCTTCAGTGCTTTTAATCTTAGCACTAGGCAGTGGCTACTGCAGTTTGAACTGGACCCCTTTTCATGGAGGTGAAGGTAATGGAAGGTGGAGACAGGGTTCAAATAAAAACGGGACAGGAACAGCTGGAGACCTTTCAGGCTGGCAAAGAACAGAGCCTAGTGGGCCTTTGCAGACTCTGGGGTGACCAGGACCAGGAAAGTCCTAACACAGTGATTGTTTGACAAGCCATCTCGGAGTCAGAGTGACATGAGCCCACACTCTAGACAAGGCGCTGTTGGGGGCAGCCTAGGGAGATAAAAACTATATACAGATTAATGGGGGCAAAGAGAGGGAAATAACATTTTTCACATACTCTACTAGAGAAAATTCTGTGTGATTTTTATCATCACGGTCTGTCTTCAAAATGAGGAAACTGTGGTTTGGGGTACATAAGTTGCCCAAGGTTACAGCGGGAGAGTTAGGCAGAAGTTAAAATAACCTGAGAACTGTAAGATAGAATCTTGAAAATTCACAATGTCAGCAAAGAAATCTTTTTGGGGAATTGGAATTGAACTGCAAATTACAGGCGTGGTCCTGAGGGGCCAGCTGGGGATGGTCCAGGGGTACGTTATTTGCTTTCTTCCTACTCCTCCCTATGGCCTCCCGTTTGGTACAGTGGCTCATACAATCCCTTTCCCTGGCCTCATTTGGTCCTTACAGCAGTCTTAGGAGGTGGTCAAGGGAGACATTTGATCCGCATCTTACAGGTGAGGATGCTGAGATCCTATGAGGTTAATTGACTTTCTCCGGACACCCAGCTGGGCAGTGGTGAATCAGGTGGTTAGTCCTAGTGTTAAGGACTTTTCAAGAAACAGAATACATGGTTTAGTGCAAAGAGCAAGGGAGGATGAGCCTCACTGAGGAAGGGACCTGTGTAACGGCTTAGAGGTAAGCATCACATGTGCACCGAGGCTGTGCCTGGGAGGGGAGCTTGACAGGAAGTGGGAGCCATGGAGGGGCAGAGCTCCTTCAAGGGGGTTTCAAAATCATGCAGGCTCCTAAGAGGGGGTGGGACAGGTCAGTTGCCAATCCCCACTGCCAAGTGGGAAATGAATGCAGCTCAGTCATCTAGATAAGATTCAGGACTAGAGAGGAAGAGAGAAGTGAAAGGAAGAGTGTCTGTGGGAGTTGGAGGCCTGGCCTAAGAGATGGAGAATAGACGGCAGCCGTGGGCTGGACCAGCTAGTGCTGGATCATGGCCCTTGGAACCCATGCACAGGACAGGCGAGCAACTCTGGTCTCCAGCCCAGCCTCAGGAGGGTACCCCGCCTCTGCACTGAAGCTCATCAGTGAAGTCATTGCCTTCTGCTGCGCCTGAGCCACAGGGCCAAGGCTGAGCTTTGGTGATAACTTCCCTGTTCTCCTCCCTTTTTCAGGTCATTGAGTGCATCACCCAAGGTCGTGTTTTGGAGAGGCCCCGAGTCTGCCCCAAAGAGGTGTACGATGTCATGCTGGGGTGCTGGCAGAGGGAACCGCAGCAGCGGCTGAACATCAAGGAGATCTACAAAATCCTCCATGCTCTGGGGAAAGCCACCCCCATCTACTTGGACATCCTTGGCTAGTGGTGGCCAGTGGTCGTGAATTCATATTCTGTTGCCTCTTCTCTTCTGGCCTCACACCCCTTCTTTTCCACTGCACAGACTCTTTTCTTCCATCCTTGACTGAAGCAAACATCTTCATATAAACTCAAGTGCCTGCTACACATACAACACTGAAAAAAAAAGAAAACCCTGTAAGGCAGTTTGGCATATATATATATATATATATATATATATATATATAATATATATATTTATATATCTAACTATCTATCTATCTATATCTACAGAGAGATAACCTCTTCTCTAATGCACAGAGAAGCTGCTGATACACAAACCATAAGACTGTAACAACAACTCAGAAAATCTTAAGTATTATGAATACAATTGAAACTTCCCTTAGACGCAGGCTGTGGCCCGTGCTTCTTCAGCTCTGACTTCTGGGAGCAGAAGACTTTGACGATGCACAGAGACAATCTTCACGTTGGGACTGGAGGAGCTGGGGTGGAGTGCCAGTCACTGCTGCACAGGTGATCATCTGCACAGGTGTGTTAGCTCCAAGCTCTGCATATGTGCATGGGCAGACCTCATCGACAGGCTCAGCAAGGAAAGAACACCGAACCAGGGGCCTCTGGGACGCCTCACACATCCCCTGACCATCTGCTCCACGCCTTCCTCCTTTCCTCCCCCTCAAGACAATTTTCTAATTTGTCTTTTCTAGAAAGTATAGTTCTGATGCTTTGGGGAGTCAGCAATGGCGCCTACAGGTAAACACTGAACAAAACAACAACGACAGCAAAACACAAAACAATGGCGACGGTGGACTACATCCATCTTGTTGTAAACTATGCTCAAGTTCCTTCCTGAATTTGAAAGAGTTGTGTCATCTCTCCTCTGGACTTCAAGAACTGGACTTTCTGGATTTAAAGAACCACAGAATTAAAAGCTGAAATCTGAACCCTGCAACGCACTGCCTCCTGTCTTTCCATCATTGGAAAGTCTCCTTGGCCGCACCTCCGACATTCAGGCTATTGGGGAGTTAAGGGGGGTGTCAGACATCCCCCGTGTTGTCTGCACGTGTGGGCACAGCAGGGTTCCAATGGCAGGAGACTTCATTCTTTGCAGGTCTTATAAGGTCTGCCCCTCTGGGTCGTCTATTTGTCAACCCGCCTTCTCTAGATTCTAGCTCGCACTTCCTGGGCCTCTAGGAAGTCCCAGGTAAACCCCACTGCCGAGAAAGGGGCCCAGGTCTGGCGAGAGGCTGGGGCAGTGCTTGCTTCAGGGAGCCAGGCAGTGGAGTGGGCAGGAGCCGGGGGGCGGGGCGGGGAGAATCTGTTTGGCACCTACATCCGGCCCCTTGTCATTCTCCTCACGTTTCCAGCCCCTGGAAGGATTGATGCATCTGCCTTTGAGTGCTGTGAAAATGCAGGGGCTGAGAAATCACTTCTGTGGACTGGGTGCAGGGGGAGGGGCCGAGGCTGCCTGGGGAAGCATCCAACGCCTGGCCGCTGCCGCAGGCTTGGCATCTTAATGAGGACGGAGCCCTGACCAGGGAGAGAGAAGGAAGCATTTGGGCTGGGGCCAGCTCCCTCTGCCCCGACACCAGGGGAATCACTGCCTTCCCAGCTGCCGCTGTCAAAGACTGCGACAGGGGTGCACCTCCGGGCCCCCCTGACCCGTGACAACAAAATGCCCGTGGAAACCCACAGCCTAGCCCCACAGAGCCCTCCAGCTGGGGAGAAGAGGATGTGCTTCTCCCAGGCCACCGGTCCCTCCGCCTCACCCAAGCACAGAGCTACCGAAGGGACTGGCTTTGCCCGACTGGAGCCTCTGGGTCCCCCGACCTGCACCCCTCTTGGCCAGCTTAAGGGACCATCAGCCGCCTGGATGTTCTGGTCAGCTGCAGTGCAGGCATCCTGTGTGGGGTTTGGGACTGAATTTTGTGTTGGTGGTTTTGCTTCTTTTTTTAGACCCACAGATATTTTTTATTCCGAGCTGTGCTCGGACTGTAGGCCACGGTGGCGGGGGCTGGGGGGAGGTGGGGGGGGTGGGGGGGGTTGGAGGCATGCTTCAGGGATGGCTGAGGCTGCTGAGTGGGGTCGGGAGGGGAGGGAGGGGAGTTGGAGTTGGGTGTGTCTTTTCTCTCTGTGCTGTGTTCCCAGCCCCGAGGACTTTGGAGGAGAGCTCTTGGGATGCACCCCCTCAAAAGAATCCTGTGCTATCCTATGGCAGTCTCCCCCCTTGTCTTTCCACCTGGTGGGCCTTGGTCTCTTCCAGGGCTGTTAATGCTGGGTTGAACTCTGCAGTCTGGTTTGGCCCTAGCGAACTAAGGGAAAGTAGTTCAAGGAAGGAGCGATCTGGGGCAGCTGCAGGGAGGTGTCTCTTAGTGAGAGATGAGGCTCCAAGGCTCCTGTTGCTGCCACGTCCTCCCCCATACAGACACTGTGTAGCTTCCATCTTCTTGGCTGTGTGTTCCTAGAACCTCAGAGTCCCTGATAGTCTGGAAGAAAGGGAGGGTGGGGAGGGATTGATGGGCAATTGGGAATGCAGAATGTAGTAGGGTTTCAGCTCAGGGCGCTGCGTCCTCATGGCCTAATGGAAGTACGCAATTCCTTTGCGGACAAGGAGACTGGTGTTGTCAGATTGCCCTTGTCTGAGTCTCTTCAGCCTCTGTGTAGGCCTTGGGGTCACACCCTCTTCACGTCCATCGTAAGCAGCTGTCTCCTGTAAGACTCCAAGATGAAGGGTACGGGGTTGGAGGAACAGAGGGGGTGGGCCTGCTTTCTCACTGCCCTTGCTGTGCTCTCTGTGTGGAGAGTCTGCATGTTGACTTACTAACCTCAGCAGGTGGAAGAAATAAAAAGTCTTTTTGGAGAGTGAAGGAGATAGAGAATGGGGCTGTGGAAATGGAAAGGGTACTCAGGGCTCTGGGGTGAGCAGAGGAGGTGGATTCTTCTGTAGAGGGAGGACCGAGAAGACTCCCCCATGTCTCCGTTTCTCCATCTGCAGAATAAGAGGTGTGTTTGCTAATCTCTGGCCCCTTCTACATTCTGGAATTCTTAGACTCCAACAGCACCGACTCTCTGTGTCCCTTTTCTCAGGACCACTCTGGAATGCCAGGGCAGCCCTCTGCAGGCCTTGCATGGGTGGGGGCAGTTGCCTCGGAGGGCTCATTGGCCTGAGCACAGGTGGGTTCCAATAAGACTGTCCTCTCCTCCTTTGCAGTCACAACGATGCAGGAGCTGAAGTGCCCGAGGTTACTTTACGCCTACAAGGAGCATCTGGTCTCCTTCACCCTCCTAGACTTCCTACACAGGCAAAAGGCCCTGGTGAAGTGTTATTTACTTACTTATTTATTTTTAAGGAGCCTGAGGTAGTTAAATGGGTGTTGAAATGACATCCCATTAGCCAGTATGGCCACTCCAGTCTACTTCAATCTCATCGCCCCCTACCAAACTCCACGGTTTAGAAGTCCATGTCTGAGCGACCGGGAAGGGGTGTAGCATTATGCAAGCTCCTTTGTAGCTGTGATAGATGCTCCAGGTTCCCCAGGCTGGTCTCCCTGCCATGCCATCCTCACCTGGTCCCCTCCAGGACTGGGTGTGAGTGACCTGCTGTTGGATGCCCACCTTGGAGTAGGGTGCCATGGCCAAGGGTCCTTCCAGTTCTTTACTTTGGATGTGAACCAGATGCTGCCCTCTAATTATATCCCTGACCTCTGGGTGGATCTTGATTTAGTTAACAGACAAAATCTTGATGCTTCCTCCGCTCAGAAGACTGTGCACAAATCATCCCTGGAGAGAGGCTTCCCGCTGGAGGCAAAGGATCCTTGGTCCCTCGGGGTTCAGGTTGAACATGACTCTTTTTCTCTGGTGATGCTTACTTTGCAGACTACACCAGTGCATGTATTTTTGGTGCTAAATACTACAGAAATCAACACCAATGGGAGAGCAGACTGCAGGTTTCTGGGGTTGCACGAGACTCAACTCAGAAGCAAAAGGGGTCAGTCATGCCTGGAGAGTGCAGGATACATGGGAAGTTAGGTGGCAACATGGAGTGGTGGAAAGACCATCGAAATTCCTGGCTTTGCTCTAGTTACTCAGGTGGCATTGGCCAAGTCAGCTAACTTTTCAGATTATCAGATTTCTCATCTGAGACATTTAGAAGGTGGAAATAGATATCTTTAAGGTCCCTTTCAGTTAAAAAATATTATGTTCTGGTCTCACTTTTTTGTTTTTTTAAACTTACTTGTTAGAAATAAGAGAAAATAAAAGGTCGTTAACGATGGGGATGAGGGACAGTTATCAATGGTAAGAAATTGATTATAGAAGGCAAACGAGAAAGGCTCAGTGACTGTTAGATTTAAGGGCTGTTGGTGGAGGGAGGCCAGGCAGACAAGTCCAGGACCCGATTTTCATGCTCTTCAGGGAGGCTGCCATCCGGCCCCTTGACTGACTGTCAGCAGCCTGTCCTCCTCAACTGGCCATCCTACTCCATTCAACACCAACATACCCAAAGTTGACAGAAACTATTCCAAGATGTGGAGACGGGCCTGCCTACTGCCCAGACAGGCCACTGGCAATCTGCACTCTGGGTCAAAATCCAAGAGATTTTTACCTTCACCTGCTATTGTGAGGAGCTAGGATGTTGGAAAGAGGACAGCATTTTAAGGTGCAGACCATTCACTAAAGTTCTTCTCCATTCAGGAGTGATGAGCGGCTTCTTTGCCGCACGTTTCCAAACCCAACAGCAGCAGTATTATTTTGACTCGAGGTACGGTTATTCCAATGGACAGTCTTGAGATCTGGGGTCTTTCTTGTGCTTTGCTCAGAGTCTGGAGCAGAGAAACATCTATAGATGTTTGTCCCGTGAGCCCGTGTGTGTTGGCAGTCTAGACAGCTGCCCTCTAATGTCCCTGGGATGTCTATTGTCAACTTTGGGTGAGAGCCAGCCTGCTAGAATACTCCATGCCATTTGCCTGAGAGCCAAAAATGCTGCTGTAGCCATTATGTTTTTGGTTACTGGAGCACCAATATCTTCTTTGATACCATTTCTTTCTTTCTTTTTTTTTTGGCCAACACTTACTAGGTTTCAAAGGAAGATTCCAAGTTTTTGTATCATCATTAATATATCAATATAGGCTTCGGAACATGTTTTGGGATGCATAACATCACCGGGAATGTCA